GCAGGAATGGGAGCGGCGCTCAGGAATGCGCATCAAGGTATCTCTCACAAAGACAAAGAAGACGCCCCTTGTAGCCTGCACACGCTCTTGGTGTAAGTGCTGCTAGCGAGCATCTTTGAAAGCACGCATTGCCCACACGAGGGTGATTGCGACCAGCCGCATGTGTCTCCCCCGGTGGTGCAGATGTATACACACTGCACCAGGTGTACTCTACTCATTTAAGGCTGAGTCGACCTAGGGGGTGGTGTCCAAGAGTGCTGCTCCAAGACCGGTTCAGATATCGAGCTCGGGTCGCGGAGTTCAATAAGTACGACCGACATTGGCAGTGGCAGCAATAGTTTAGTCATCAGCAACAACAGCAGCCGTAGCAATAACATCTTCATCATCAGCAGCAGCAAAAGTAGCTATAACGACATTAGCAGCAGGAAGTGCCATTATTATCATCAGGAGCAACAACAATAACAGCAACAGCAGAATCAGATTTCACAAACATTACAAGTAGCGTTGTGGTGACGTATTGGTAACATCGGTACCTCAACAACAATTGCCTGAGTTCGACACCAGATTCAAAGTCATTTCTGTGTGAAGTTTGTATGTCCCCCCCCCCCCCCCCTGTTCTATATGCAGGTTTCCTCCTATATGTTGAAGAAAAAAACAATGTAATGGGTGATTGGCTAAAACGTCGGGGATGCGCGTCGAATATCGAAACGACGTATATCGAAGCAATTCACAGGGTGGGTAGGTGGAGGCGAAGGGTGAGAGGCGACACACATCGGGTAGCGGTGACGTCGCTGACTAACGCCGCTGACTAACGCCGCTGACTAACGCCGCTGACTAACGCCGCTGACTAACGCCGCTGACTAACGCCGTTGACTAACGTCATTGACTAACGCCGTCGACTAACGCCGTCGACTAACGCCGTCGACTAACGCCGTCGACTAACGCCGTTGACTAACGTCGTTGACTAACGCCGTCGACTAACGCCGTCGAATAACGTCGTCGACTAACGCCGTCGACTAACGCCGTCGACTAACGCCGTCGACTAACGCCGTCGACTAACGCCGCTGACTAACGCCGCTGACTAACGCCGTTGACTAACGCCGTTGACTAACGCCGCTGACTAACGTCGCTGACTAACGCCGTCGACTAACGCCGCTGACTAACGTCGCTGACTAACGCCGCTGACTAACGTCGCTGACTAACGCCGTCGACTAACGCCGTCGACTAACGCCGCTGACTAACGCCGCTGACTAACGTCGCTGACTAACGCCGTTGACTAACGCCGCTGACTAACGCCGTTGACTAACGCCGTCGACTAACGTCGCTGACTAACGCCGTCGACTAACGCCGCTGACTAACGCCGCTGACTAACGCCGCTGACTAACGCCGCTGACTAACGCCGCTGACTAACGCCGCTGACGTGAGTGTGAATCGAGGCGACGCACATCGGGTAGCGGTGTTAATAAAGTGACGACGTATTTGCGAAACGAAGTCAACGGGAAACGTAAATCGGGGTATCATTGTACCTGAAAATGACTCGACTGTATTTGCATCATAGGTAGCAACAGCTCCCCCTACTGGACCATCTTTAGTACGGAGTTGAGACTCGGTAAAGCTTTCCTGGCTAAATAAACGTAATAATGAATAGGACCGGTCTTAAGACTCAAAACATAATAATTCCACTGCTGGAAGAACGCCTCCCAACTGCGATCATGGGGTGGGGGTTGTTAAGCCATACTTCACCACGTTGGTCAGTGCAGGTAGGTCAAAATTGGTTCAGATATCACTCGACAGATTTCTACTCGCTTCATTACCGTACTTTATTGTACAATGATTTTGTCATAGTCTGAGACTATGTCCTCCATAATAGAGGTGTGTTGGGTTAGATCGCGTAAATATATAAATGTGTCGTTAAAACCCGCCACCACCCGACACAGCCAACTAGTGAGGGTTGTCACGTAAACAGAACATGTCAATTCGTCACTAGTACAGCACACCGGTGTGTTGGAGAGCCAAGCCACAACATTTACAATCTGAGTACGACGTTTCGCCAGTAATTACAACTAGCTTCATCAGGCGACAGCCAGATTTGTGGAGAAGTCCACCTGTTTCGTTCCTTATATATAGCGGCGTAGATGTGGTGACCCAAAAAAAACTCTATTATGGATGATATTGGTTGTGAAAGCCCACGTGTTTAACATACTATGTCCTGGTCTCTTGAGTTCTCACCCGATTTAGTTCTGACCTGATTAGTTCTCACCTGCATGATTAGTGATTTAGAAACATGCGTTTAGAAAGTATTTGGCTGCTATAAATTCCCACGTGATAAGCCACTTCATTGGGCTATCATTTGTGATAGCCAAGTCGTTTCTGAAAAAAGAGCGATATCGTGGACTATATCTTGACTGAAAGCTTTCGTGACTGTAGAAATTCATATTTCATATTCTTTGGGTCTTCAGACGACCGCTTGCGTTGCGATCGAAACGTCGATATTATTGTATTTTTTTCTATCTACATGGCATTTATCGAAATACCCAAAAAATATAGTGGACTATGTTGCGCCTGGAACACCACAAGGCGGGCGATAGTTGGCTATGTATGTGGCCTGTAAATCCAGCCCTAAGTGGAGGCAGCGAGGGTTCGTAGAAGTGTAGTGAAAGTCCCTTCCAATGGGCGTTGAGGAGGTGCCATGAAATATTTAACTTTTTTCGCACCGTATGTAACCAACCGTGCTAATCGGAGGTGCCATACCGTGGCTCGCCATGCGAAGGCGAGTACAGCAAGTGGTTACTAATCGCCATCTTTAAAGATGCTCGCAAGTAGCACTTGTCCTGGGGATAGAGCGTTGCACCCTCGCACGCGTGGGTTTTCTCCAGGTGCTCCGCTTTGATCCCACGTGCACAATAAACACTCCTTGTTAATTGGCTGAAAACATCTTCAAATAATCCATAATAGAGGTGTTTTGGATCCGATCTCATAAATATAAATGTGTCGTTAAACCCGCCACCACCCGGCACAGCCAAATAGTAAGGTTTTCCACGTAAACAAAATATGCCAGTTCGTTGTTGAAGAGTAAACCCACCAAATAAAAAAAAAATTCGAGTACTTAAAATAAACACTCGATGCGGCAGAACCCCTCCTGAAAAAAAAAAGTCAAATCACTCAGAGTGCCTCTCTTGGATTGATGACAACAGAAAGTAAATCGACATTGCAGAGACCATTGCAGCTCGCGCGGGCCAATCAGCTGCGAGCCCCCCCGTCCCTTCGCCCCGATGCGGGAGTCCAATTAAGGAGCCGTGCCAGTGGCGTGGACAGCGATTACAGAGGAAGAGGGGAGAGTGAAGGGAGAGGGTGGGGAGAGGGTGAGAGGAGAGGGTGAGGGGAGTGAGGAGAGAGTGTGTGTGGAGTGAAGGGAGAGTGTGTGTGGAGTATGTGGAGTGTGGGGAGTGACGGTGTGTGGAGTGATGAGAGAGTGTGTGTGGAGTGAAGGGAGTGATGAGAGAGTGTGTGAAGTGTGGGGAGTGATGAGAGAGTGTGTGTGGAGTGTGGGGAGTGATGAGAGAGTGTGTGTGGAGTGTGGGGAGTGATGAGAGAGTGTGTGAAGTGTGTGGAGTGTGTGGAGTGTGTGGAGTGAAGGGAGAGAGTGTGTGTGAAGTGTGGGGAGTGAGGAGAGAGTGTGGGGAGTGAGGGTGTGTAGAGTGATGAGAGAGTGTGTGTGGAGTATGGGGAGTGAGAGTGTGTGGAGTGAAGGGAGAGAGTGTGGGGAGTCAAATGTTTTCGTTCCGGATGACCGCTGCAACGTATGATCTTGTGTTTTGATTCAGTGTGCTGATCTTTAAAGGTGCATTTGAAAAATGTTGATACTCTGATGCTCCTGCTGTTGTGGAGTGACTCATGCAGCCAGCTATGGCTGCAGGGTTTGGTGGTACATGTTGTTTATGTCGTTTATTGTGACATTTCGGTCACAGTTCCTATGATCACTGTTTCATTGCTTTCATGGCTTTATTTTGGTGATTTCGAAAACGTTTTTCGGTTTGGCCATGTTTGTTTGTTGTAGTACGGAGTTAGACTGATGGCCTTCATCTAAGTTGTCTTGTGGTTGTCGTTGTTGTTGTTGTTTGACTTGCATCCCACTGGGATTTTTGCACAGTGTTGGTGTACGGTGCTTGTTTTCTGGAAGACTTTGCATTTTTTTCCTGGATTTTTCTGTTTGCGCATAGTCACATAGTCACTTTAACATGTTTTCTTGTTCATGTTTTTGTTTGTTGCGGTTGCACCCGATTCAAGAGCCGAATGGCTCACAGGGCTCTACCTAATAAATGAAACTGAGTGAGGAGAGAGTAAAGGGAGAGAGTGTGGGCAATGTGGGGAGTGAGGGTGTGGAGAGTGAGGGGAGAGGGGGTGTGGGGAGTGTGGGAAGTGAAGAGAGAGTGAGTAGGGAGGGAGAGAGGGTGTGATGAGAGATGGTGTGGGGAGTGAGTGTGGGGAGTGAGGGTGTGGAGAGTGAGGAGAGAGTGTGGAGAGTGAGGGGAGAGGGGGTGTGGGGAGTGTGGGAAGTGAGGAGAGAGTGAGTAGGGAGGGAGAGAGGGTGTGATGAGAGATGGTGTGGGGAGTGAGTGTGGGGAGTGAGGAGAGAGAGAGGGGACAGAGTGTGGAGAGTGAAGGGGTGGAGAGTGAGTGGAGAGTGTGTGGAGTGTGGAGAGTGAAGGGTGGAGAGTGAGTGGAGAGTGTGTGGAGTGTGGAGAGTGAAGGGGGGAGAGTGAGGAGAGAGAGAGTGTGTGGAGTGTGTGGAGTGTGAGGAGAGAGTGTGTGGAGTGTGGAGAGTGAAGGGTGGAGAGTGAGGAGAGAGAGAGTGTGTGGAGTGTGTGGAGAGTGAGGAGAGAGTGTGTGGAGTGTGTGGAGTGAAGGGGTGGAGAGTGCGGAGAGTGTGTGGAGAGTGAGGGGGTGGAAAGTGAGGAGTGTGAAGGGGTGGAGTGTGTGGAGAGTGAGGGGGTGGAGAGTGAGGAGAGAGAGGGAGGAGTGTGTGGAGAGTGAGGGGAGAGTGAGCTCATATAACGAGTTACAGTGAAGTCGTCTTCTTATTTCCGCATACCCCTGGGCTCCTCCTCGAGTGCATGTCGGCGGAGGCGAGCTGAGGTGAGCTCTCTCCTTCCCCGCGTCCACGTGTCTCCCTCTACCCACGTGTCTCCCTGTACCCTCGCGTCTCTCTGCCTGTGTGTGTGTCTGTGTGTGTGTCTGCGTGTCTGTCTGTGTGTGTGTGTCTGCCTGTGTCTGTCTGCTGTGTGTCAAGCCACGGTCTTTGCACGCGTGCGTGCGTGTCTCTCTCTCTCTGCCTGTGTGTGTGTTCCTACCTGCACGCCTCACCGTCGTTGTCTGCGTGCGTGTGGTGCTGTCTGTCTGTGTGTGTGTCTGTCTGTGTGTGTCTGTCTGTCTGTCTGTGTGTGTGTCTGTCTGTCTGTGTGTCTGTCTGTGTGTGTGTCTGCGTGTCTGTGTCTGTCTGTGTGTCTGTCTGTGTGTGTGTCTGTGTCTGTCTGTCTGTGTGTGTGTCTGTCTGTGTGTGTCTGTCTGTGTGTCTGTCTGTGTGTGTGTCTGTGTCTGTGTGTCTGTCTGTCTGTGTGTGGGGAGCGGCGGTGTAGCGGTTTAGCGCTACGCTACGAACCCGGTGACCCGAGTTCGATTCCCGCTCACGGCCACCAACACCACCGGCGACGATTGTCTGAACCGGTCCCGGAGCCTCCCCCCTAGGTCGACTCAGCCTCAAATGAGTGGTGCGGTTTTTAGTAAACATCGCTACAGGGGGGGGGGAGACAAAGGCGGTCGGGGCGTGGTGCTGGTCACCCACCCCTCGTGTGCCACAGTGCCAGCGACCTTCATTGTTGCTGCTACTCGCTAACAGCACTTGCCCCAACATTCTGTCACAGGCTACACGGGGGATCTTTGTCTTTATGGTGCTGTCTGCGTGCCTGCTCTTTGTCCCCTCCCCCCCCCTTGTGCATCTTCCCGTCTGCCTTGTGTCTGTGTGTGTGTCTGTGTGTGTGTGTCTGTGTGTGTGTGTCTGTGTGTGTGTGTCTGTGTGTGTGTCTGTGTCTGTGTGTGTGTCTGTGTGTGTGTGTCTGTGTGTGTGTCTGTGTGTGTGTGTGTGTCTGTGTGTGTGTGTGTCTGTGTGTGTGTGTCTGTGTGTGTGTCTGTGTGTGTGTCTGTGTGTGTGTGTCTGTGTGTCTGTGTGTGTGTCTGTGTGTGTGTGTGTCTGTGTGTGTGTGTGTCTGTGTGTGTGTGTCTGTGTGTGTGTCTGTGTGTGTGTACATGTGCATCTGTTTGTTTCTGCATGGATAGATCTATATACATGACAATAAATACCTGCATATGTAGTCTATGCTCCTGTACAGTGTTCATATCACAAACGTTGTTTGACTGCTGGAGGAGAGCTCCTGCGTGTGTGTGTGTTTATTGTTGTACAACACGTTTATTGTAGTTTATTGTTGTACAACAAGTTTATTGTTGTACATTCACGTGCGAGTGTTGTGTCTGTCTGTGTGTGGACGTGGGGAGCGGTGGTGTCGTGGTTTAGCGCTACGAACCCGGCGACCCGAGTTCGATTCCTCCGCTCACGGCCACCAACACCACCGAGCATCTGAACCGGTCCTGGACCTGTCCCTAGGTAGACTCGGCCTCAAATGAGTACTTGGTGCTGTGTGTGTGTGGAGTAAAACATCGCTACTGGGGAGACAAAGGGGGCCGGGCGTGGTGTTGGCCACCCACCCCCATCGTGTACCGTGCCGGTCTTCACAGGCGCTCGCTAACAGCACTTGCCCCACCAGTCTGTCAGGGGCTACACGGGGGTTCTTTGTCTTTGCGTGCACGTGCTGCACCAACGTGACTTTGATGGAGTGACGTTCCTTTCGTTTGTTCCTTTCGGATGTGTTGGTGGTGGTCACAACCCCACGGCAGGCGAATTACTCGGTTAGGGGCGACGATTTATTGTATACCCACGTGGCTTTACCGAAAGAAGCAAAGAGTTAGGGGCGACGATGATTGTGGTGGTGGCGGTGATGGCGGTGGTGGTGATTGTAGTGGTGGTGGTGGCGGTGGTGGTGGTGATTGTGGTGGTGGTGATTGTGGTGGCGGCGGTGGTGGTGGTGGCGGCGGTGGTGATTGTGGTGGTGGCGGTGGTGATTGTGGTGGTGGTGGCGGTGGTGGTGGTGATTGTAGTGGTGGTGGCGGTGGTGATTGTGGCGGTGGTGGTGGCGGTGGTGATTTTGGTGGTGGTGGCGGTGGTGGTGGTGATTGTGGTGGCGGTGGTGATTGTGGCGGTGGTGATTGTGGTGGTGGCGGTGGTGGTGGTAGCGGTGGTGGTGGTGGCGGTGGTGGTGGTGGCGGTGGTGGTGGTGATGGTGGTAGCGTTGGTGGTGGTGGCTTTGGGCAGCATTGGGACCAGCGACCACCACGACCCCCCCCCCCCCCTCGGGGCTGTCCGCAGTGCTGCTGTTCCGTGTGCGTTGGAAGCAACCACAACCCAGGAGCTCAGGCGGGGCACGGTTATCGCCTTTCGCGACCAATATCATTCATCATGAAGAGTGCGGGGCGGGGGGGTAGATCGCATTTATACTTTAGCGTGTCTAACCACCACCACCACCAACAACAACGAACCTTGACTATGATCCGGGAGCTCCTCTAGGCCACGCGGCATGTTGAGACCCCAACAAACAAGAGACCACACGTTGTTATACCCTTTATACATAAAGTCTCAGTTTAAGCATAGGTTGAACTCTTGCTTCGTTATCGAACATCATTGGAATGTACACGATTCGCTCCGTCAAGGTTATCGATATGTTGTGTGTGTGGCGTGAAGGGGGAGCGGTGGGCGTAGTGGTTAGCGCGCTGCGCTATACGAATTCTCAGACGGCCACCAACACCATCAGTGACGATTATCTAAGCCGGTCCGGGGGCTCGTCTAAGTTGACTCAGCCTCAAATGAATACCTGGTGCGGTGTGTAAAACATCGCCACTGGGGAGACAAAGGCGGCCGGGCGTGGTTGCTGGTCACCCATCACCTCGTGTGCCAGTGCCGGCCTTCACAGGTGCTCGCTAACAGCACTTGCCCCAGCAGTCTGTTACAGTCTATTACAGGCTATACGGGGGATCTTTGTCTATAGTGTGAAGAGGGGAGCGGTGGGCGTAGTGGTTAGCGCCGCTGGGCGACGAACCAGGCGACCCGAGTTCGCCATGTGAGGGAGACAAAGGCGGTCGGGCGTGGTGCTGGCCACCCACCACCTCGTGTGCCACGGTGCCGGCCTTCACAGGTGCTCGCTAACAGCACTTGCTTCCCCCAACAAGCTCTTAGGGCTGTAGTTAGTCGTGGGGGGGGGGGGGGGTCAGTGTCTCTTGTGTCCGGTATAACAGTATCTCGAATTGTCTCTATGATTATTAATGTTCACCGACAACCGTGGTATTAATCAGCTGCTAGTCGAGGACTTGCCCCCCCCCCCCACCAACCCACGCCGTGCAGGTCGTCGGGGTTATTTGACCATAGTTCACCCCGCTGGTCAACGTAGGTACGTCTCAAATGTCAGTCGGGGGCACACAACTCCATAGGCAGGACCGGCAAACGCCTCCGATTGGCACGGTATGGCTAGGTACGGCGCGAAAGAAGTCCAACAGACTGGGGCAGCAGTCCACGTGGCCAAGCAGCAGCAGCAGCATCAGAAGCGGCCGCCTGCGATGTTCAGGATGCTGCCACCCCTTGGGGTGTGGGGGTGGGGTGGGGGGGTCCCATTCTTCACGGTTCATCTGTCGCACCTGCGTGCTCCTCCTGCTCCGCACATCCTGCCAGAGAGTCACCACCGGCAGACGCGTCGCCTCGTCGTCTTTGCCGCCACGAGGTGCGTGCACCTAGCCTGGCACAAAGCGACGCGGTGGGGAGGTGGTGAGGCTGTCACCGCCAGCTTAGAGGCGAATGCTGTTTTATCGTTTAGACGGTGGTACTGTGTGTATGTGCTGTGTGTTGTGTCGTCCAGGTGTGTGCGTGCCTGGTGTGGTGTGTAAACATCGCCACTGGGGAGACAAAGGCGGCCGGGCGTGGTGTTGGCCACCCACCCCTTCGTGTGCTTTGCCGGCCTTCATAGGTCTTCGCTAACAGCACTTGCCCCTACAGTCTGTTACAGGCTATACGGGGGATCTTTGTCTTGGGTGCGTGCGTGAGTGAGTGACATCTGGAGCGGTGGTACCGCGGTTAGCGCTACGAACCTGGCGATCAGAGTTCGATTCCCGCTCACGGCCAACATCGCCGGTGACGATTATCTGAACAGGTCCTGGGTCTCACCTCGGTCTGCTCGGCCTGAAATGATTGCCCGGTGCGGTGTCTGTAAGGTGGCCGAGTGGCCGGGCGTTGGCCACCCGTCACCCTCGTGTGCCTTGCCGGCCTTCATATCCGCTCGCGAACAGCACTTGCCCCAACAGGCTACATGGGGGATCTTTGTATGTATGTTTGTATGTATGCGTGAGTGATAGTACAGCATGACAGGTCAGTCTGCATATGTTTGGCCTGGAGCCACCTCTAGGCTGACTCAGCCCTAAAACGAAAATGTTGTAGTGTTCATGCGCCTTTTTGGTGGTGGCGATGGCAGTGATGATGTGGTGGTGATATCAGTGATGACGGTGATGGTGTTTATCACGGTGATGAAGATTGTGGTGATAATGGTGGTGATGACGATTGTGGTGGTGATACTGTAATGACGATACTGTTGGTGCCGATAACGATTATTGTAATAGATACAATTGTGATTATGGGGCTTTTAGAGGTCACAGATATCAACACTTGGGAAGGGAAACACGAGCGGCTGTGCGTGTTCGGCACGCCGTCATCCCCACCGTCACATACCCAAAACTCATAGGCGCTCCCTCTATAACACCCAGCAAGCAATGCATGTTGCGGGGCCTTGCGTCTGCATATCACACGTGAACATAACGCTGGCTACGTCGCTGTTCGTGTAACAATGCACTGTGGTTAAATGCAGGTCGGCTAAATAAAACTCATCTGCTACGTCAACAGCGATGTGCCCACTGCCCGCTGGCCTCTTGAGTTTCGTGTTCACTTGCCAACCACTGCCCTCTGTGTGTTGTCAAATCGTTTGCAATGA